AATTTATCTATTGTAATCAAAGATAATGATAATAATTAATTTGAAAATGTTTGAAAATAAATCATATAATTAATCGCTAGAATTTTAACCAATCGTCTTTAAGAAAATTTTAGTGATTCTGCATATTTAATGCAGTTTAAACGTTTACATAACCCCGTAACCTAATCAAATACATTATATAATCACTCAGAAATAGAAAATGAGAAAATTTCAAATTCACTGACCATTTCTAAATAATTAGCATTGACCATTCACTGTCAAGCGTTATTACATAAAATTTAAACTCGTTGACCTAATTGCATAATTAATTTAATGAAAGAATTAATTTACATAATTTTTAGTTTAATTAAATGTTATTATTTTTAACATTTAAATATTTAAATTGGAGAGCCTTGCGAAATTTAAATCGAGCAAATGTACTGAACAGAATTGTACATAATGTGATTTCGAATACATTTTCTAATTAATCTAATCGAATTTTTTACATAAACTAAGTTTTAGCCAATGGCCGCGACGAACTTCGTTTATTAAAAATTCAAATGAACCAATTAAACATAGTTACGGTAATGAATACATTTTAAAAGAATATAAAACAAAGGAAAAACAAATTCATTTGTCCTCGAATTAAATATTTTCATAACAGACAATGGCGTGATAAAATATATTAAATACTTCTAATATAAATATAACTCTCGAAGAACATGACCGTTAAACAAGCATTTAAAATTTCAAATAAGATGACGTTTACAGACTAACCCAATTAGAAAATTGGGGAGTGACGTTGTACTCCGCGAGAGCTTAAACGTGATTAGTGACGTTTCGGTTAATTCTACGTGATATAAATTGCTACAGACAAGGGAATAGCTGCGAGGTATCGTTTAAATCGGATTCTGGACAGCATCCACATTGATGTAATATAGGTCATTAATCCGTTAATCGATCGATCTCGTGTTTCGAGTTATCCAGCTGTAACTCCACCGTTTACAAATCTCGCCGGTAGATGGAGCGTAGCTACGTGATTGCAATAGTTATAAATACCTGACAATGTCACGAATACAAGAAACAAATCGATTAGAATTATTGTATAGGCATATACTTTCTTCTCCGTTTCTAATATTAATAAACCATTTAAAATAATAATCACTCGTAGCATTAAGCATGTTTAGTTAAAACTCATTCACACACATCTTTACATAAATATTTTAAAATTTAAATATTTATTTCGGTCGTCCATCACGTTAAAAGTAAAATAAACGCCCAAATTAAATATTTATGAAAACCGATGACGTCACAAGAGTTGTGGTTTTTTTTTTTTTTTTTTACTATCGAATTGAAAACTTGATAAGAATATAATTTTAGAAAGTTTAAATAATTCAATTATGGTTATTTTTATAACAGAAATGTAACGATTTAATATTTCAGTAATTTAAAATTTAATTTTAAAATCTATTTCTTCTTCTTCCAGATGGCGACACGAGTACATATACACACAATAAATATATTTTAATAGAAAATTTTTAAAAGTAATTATCGTTAAAAATAGTGTCAAAATTATATTTTTAATACAAAAAGATAAAAGGTAATAATATTTATTCGTTTAAAAATGCATAAAACTTGAATTTAATAAAGTTTTTAGTTATTTTTGGTTGCCATGTCGATTATCATTTAACGCTTCTTTAGTTATTTTACTTCTTTATTTTTCTTTAAACATTTTTATGTTTTGCGTCGGAAAAATCGATAAATTGTCGGCATTTGAAGGTTAACCGTGACAGGCTAATTAACCGTTTCAAAATTTGCAATAAATAAACCAATCGCGTTCGGGTTTTTATTTTTGAATTTACTTACGTCAGAGAAAGGGGAAGTGCATTTAGTCCCTTTTCCGTCCACGAGAGGAAGATTTGTCGTTTTGTTGTTGTTATCATTTTCTTCGAGATTTAACAGTGTTTCTTCCGTTTCTTCGGTAATTTGTGGAAACATTTTGAGTTCCTTCATACTTCGATCGACGAAATTACTGAAATAAATATAAACTAGTTGTAATAAAATCGATCAAATCTTATTTATCTTCGTCATAAAGACATTAATATCCATTATTAATTACTTATTTTAATAATGTAGACATTAAAAAATGCTTATTAAATCCAATTTGTTATAAGATTAAATTACATTCTACATAAAATGTAAAGCGTAATAAGAGAGTTAATAAATGTTAAAATCTTAAATATTTACAAAATAAATATTAAAAGTTTCGATTAAAAATTTAAAATAAAAACGACAGGTGTTTAAAAGCAGCAAAACAAGACTATTTATTATTATATTTACTTAAAACATTTTGCATTATATATTGCCAAAGGAAGTTCAAAAGATTAGCAAACAGAAATCGAATCGATCTGTTTTCTAGTGTTGAATATTGCTTTACGTTAGTTATAAAAGGTAAAGAACGATATTATAATGGTAAGGATGTCACGTGATTACCGTTTAAATATAGACAAACACTCCAATCACCGAGCATAATTGTTAAATTAAGCATGACTCGATTAGAGTGATGAAGAGCATACTACTGTTAAATTAATTCGGTGCATACATTTTTAATGTATTTAAAGATTTAATTCCCTAGATTATCTTTCGAATTTTCATTTTATTTATTTTGCAGATTACTATTCTACTGTTACTATATTCGTTTTATATTTCGCTCCCTATCAATAGGTATTGAGAATACACGTCGGCTATAATATCACAACCATCTGTCAATTCTTATTTTCCCGTATCCATATATTCTTTCATTGTCATTCTAAACGTCTTTTATGGTTATATCTTCCGGAAAGCGGAGCAATGCACTTCTCAAATTCCTATTTCTATTACAGATGACAAATTTTTGGATGCTTTCTGAGATTTAGCTACGGCTAAATAAATTTATTTATGCGATTTATCAGCAAAAAGAAATCCATTTTTAGTATTCATTCTTCTCTATTATGTACTGTATAGTATATTAAGAATCGTGTAATGTTATATTACGCGATTCTTAATCAATGCGGATAAATTAAGATTAAAACTCAAGAAAAAAAAAAACTATTATATTTTTAAACTTGCCAGCTAAAACAATCTTCTGGGAAGTTTGTAAATATAGTTATGTGACAATTACGACATGAATTTAATCCTAAATGACATCAGATTTTGGCAAATTTAATCAGAATTTTCTCGTCACCTCGTTACATCACTTCTAATTCTTAACGAATTCGTGAATTGTTTAACAAGAAGCTCTATAAAATAGAATAAAAATGGCAAGATGGCAGATAAGTAAACATCCAATTACATGACATAGTTTAAAAATAACATTCTATTATCATAATTTAGCAATTTCTTAATGCGTGTGCTAAAGTTAAACTCACTTTTCAAAGTTTAATTTAGAATTTTTTATGCATTTCCATATGGAATTTTTTTATTTTTTATTTTTATTGTTTCGTCATCTTAATGGCGTTTATGGATTAAAAATTCTTTTTGTGTAGATGGAAAAATATAAAACTTATTTTTAATATTATAACATACTAAATGTTTTAATTTAAGAGTTTATTTTATATTTTAAAATCTTCTTATGCTATTTAGATTATGAATAAGTTTGCGAATCTTATTTATTATTAATTTATAGATTTTTCCGAGATCTTACTTATTTTTCAGGCCGGAAAAATGTATTTTTAAATATTTAAAACTAAAATATAAACCGAAGTTAATATATTTTTCTGTTATAACTTATTCATGTGATGAGTTACAGCGATGTTATTTGTAAACTTATCATTCTGCAGATAACTTACGCGAATTGAAAAACAAATGAAAAACCAAAGAAAGTTTTTGCATTTTGTAGCTCTTGTAAGTGATCCAATTTCCATTCGCTTACTTGAATATAATTTATAACTCCTCTGCAAATTTAGAAGGTCATGGGTGTCTACTTTTTTTTTTATTATTATTGTTTTTCTCTTTTCTAGCTGCAAAGAGATTTTTGGAAAAACTCCAGAAACTTATTTCTAAAAGGAGCATCACTGAATCCTTAAGAAGTAAACTATTTACGTTCGAAAACCCTTCAGTCACGTGTCCAATCTGGCAAACTTTTAACAGACCTTGAAAGTACTCAGTCGTATCGAAAACATAGAAAAAATACTCACAAAACAGACGCTCTGACAACTGTACTGCCTCGTGTCAAGGACAAGGTCGAGTTCGAGGTCGAGTTTAAATTTCCGGTGATTTTAAAGCAATCACGTGTTCTACATTTGAATTGTCTTTTAACAGGTTACTTTGATGTTATTACATATGGTTACATAATTGAAAAAAAGCTTGATGATTCGGTCCAAGTTTTGTGATATAATCTGATCAAAATATATAATTATCTTTTACAATGTTTGTATATGATAAAGTCATATGATCAGTTTGAAGTGTAAATTATCGCAAATAATTGTATTTTTTCCTTACTGAATTAAATTTGAAATTTTATTTTGAAAATAAGTCGATATTTTTGTGAGTTTTAACAAATAACGAAGACATGAATGGAAGATATTTCGTGATCAATGATTCCATTTATTGACATTTTTTTTTTTAGATGATTGGAATTATTGGAATTACAAGGAGAAATCGGATAATTGGGAAATACAGTAAAACAATTCAGAGAAAATAAAAAAATAAAAATGGCGATTTCAGAAAACACGTGGTTGGTTGGAACGTATGAATTGTAACTGATATAATGAAATTTGCACGTGAAAATAACGTGGTAAAAATTGATATCTTAACGTATTAACGATTAGAATTATGAATGAAATAAATACAAAATTGTAATGATAGAGTAAAAAAGCCATACTCATTGAAATTGTTATTTTATTAAGCACATTTTATTAAAAACTAAAATAAAATTCTACTGTTTCATTAATTTGTTCGTTTATATCTGTTCTTTTTCGTTATAACTTTACAGTTACGTTTATTGATTCTCATTAGCAGATTATCCTACAGGCAAAATAAGCCCTTGCTCGTGATCCTGAACTTAAAAGACCCAAACAGAAATAATTATATATTAATTTCCATTTACAAATATTAAATGGAATATTCAACGAATCCAAGAAATTAATGAGCACTTAAGGCTTCCAGATGTGATAATTCGCCACTGATTATTCTTCATTACGATCTCTCTGCTCTTTGAAATAACAATCAAATTTAATTAATCATCACAAATTCCTTATTTATGTAGGTCTATTTAACTCTTAAGATAAACAATTGTATATTTAAGATTCTACAAATAAGTTGGTTGGAAAGCCCCGAAATGGAATTTTCTTAAAAATAGTTTCCATATAGAGACTTTTAAGTACTAACAAATAGGCATTTTACTATTAATAGTAATTGAAATAGGTGTTTTACTAAACACGTGATTGAGCAGAGCGAGACAAAATCGATAAGAAAATCAAAGAACGATTGTTACGTGGAAAAAAATCACTTAATTGACCCTCGATGATTGAAAAGTTAAGGTAAAGTGGCGCGAGCTGACATAATGTCTCGTGTACAAATATAAGTATATTTTATGCAGATTTTTACTTAATTAAAAATTATTCTAAAAATAAAAACTTTACTATAGATAAATGAATCGTCGTTGAAAGAAAATGGCGTGACAGATAAAAATTATAAATTTGTGAATAATATTATGAACGTTAAAAGAAAAAAAAAAAAGTAGTAACATGTATGAAAGGAGCATGTTTTCGAATGACGAACGGGACAAGAAATCGGGTGAATGAACGGAAAATAAAGTCACATGATTGAAGTCATTCCAAAAAATATACAAGAATGTAACAAACAATAACTAAAGTGAAAAAGCCGCGAGTTTGAAAATAGATCAGAAAAACAAATATAAAACGAAAAAAAGATGATTCTTGATGCGAATGAATGAAAAATGTCTTATAAAAGCGAATATGTTGAGACGAGGTGAAAAACCGGAATATAAAAAAAATCGAAAAGCAATAATTCAAGAGTAAGCAATACGTTGTCACTACCGTTCGAGTTTATTGTCATCGCATATTTTCTATGCATCCAATAATACATAGAAATAAACATTCTCATGTGAATTATTTTCCTTTGACACGATATACTGAAAACGCATACAGGCCTACATATATTTAGGCCTATATATACCTATATACATTCACTTAAGTAGTATATACAGTATATATTTAAGATTAAGCAAAAAAAACAATATAAACTACATGATATTTTAGTTAATAAATTCTTAAAATATCGAAATTACTCACGCGATTTCCTCGACCGAAAATAATTATTTTCGCTCTATAAAATATTGGATAACTGCCTAAAAAAAAAAAAAAATACTAGATAGGAGAAATCTGCGAATGTATTCAAAACTTTCATAACTCGCTCGAACGTTTAATCTTAACTTTTGAGTAGGTCGAACATTTTATAAAGTTAATGTTTGCATAAAGAGGAGCGGTTACGACAGCCTATCTGTTCTACTGCGATAGGAGCAAATTTTTTTTTTCCCATATTTTACGAATAAAATTTGAATATTAATAGGAGAAAAATAGTTTTCCTTTCCTATTTTTATACTTAAAGCTGTATAAATAATGCTACTATCGCAATAAAACATAAGTAAACATGCGGGGTATCTGTATATATCTATATAAAAATATTCTCTGTCAAAATTGCTGACATGTAAGAGATAAAAACGGTTCAACAAACTGTAATGTTATTTAAGATCTTATACGACGTTTTAATTTAATTAAAACTTAAGAAAAATAAATTTAGCAGAAGTTTCAAAGATTTTTTTTTTCGATTATCGAACTCTCAAGAATGCAAGAGTAAATTGAGAGTAGCATTCTGTACTTCAGTCTTGGATTACGCCGAATTCCGAAACATGCAAGAAGCCACAAATTCTAATATAATAGATTTGAATAACTTCATAAAATCCCTTAAAATGGTGGAACATAACACGTCTCTCATGGAAATTGAATAGAAAGTTCAAAACAACGCAAAAAATATGCATAAATTAAAATTTCTAATGGTAAATGCTTTCATATATAACTGCTAACGAAATCATATAGCAATAATTTCTGTTTTATATTTTTCCATTAAATGTAAAGGATGTATGTCATGAGAATGTTGCACCGTTTAATTAAGAAATGAAGAGCTACAGGTCAGTGGTAGAGAGAGAGTAGAAAACGTTTCAGTTTTCTTCTCATTACTTTTCCTACAAAATCCTATTTATTAGAAAGTTTCTGAGCGAGAATTAATGCGATATCTTCATCAATTTTATGAGATACGGCAAGAATACACTTTCTTCCATTATTAAAGTGAGAGATTTTAAAATTCCTTTCTCACTTTCTCATTCATATTTATATCCAAAGCCTTCTTATACATGCAGCTCAACTCTTAACATTCGTACAACATGCAACGTAAAAAATGGATTAACCTTTCCAAACTGTAATAAATCATCAAAACAAGCCCGTATTCACTAATAACCCATTATTATAATTAGAAAATGTCTTTCCAGCAGATTTTTACATTACGTGATCATCCTACCCAAACTTCAGTAAAAAAACAAAACGTTAATTTTTGAGAATTCCATTTTTTGACAGTTATCCGTTTACGTGATCGAAGAAAATATGGTCAAAATTCGTGGATCCTATGGAGTTTGCGGCCTTAATGTGTCGTGGAATGCAAAGGGAGTATTAAATTCTAAATGTTTACTTAACAGAAAAGTAAACGAATGTAAATTTTTTTTTTGTACGCGTTGAAATTCTTTCCCTTCATTTAACTAGTCGAATAGTTAAATACAGGGCCGAAAGAGATCAACCGTAGGTTAAGAAACAAAAACAGATTTTTAATAACGATCCTAACACAAACTGCTCACACAAGATCACTTTAAACAATATAAGGGTCGATAGGCGATCCGTTGGAGCACGTGTTTAAAGTTAAGTACGAGCCGAACTATCCAATGTACGGTTCCAAGCAACGGGAGATAAAACAGACAAATCGAGACGCCTCTGTGTTAAGTGGGAAAAGAGGTTATCTCTAGTTATTTATAGACAATCTCATTTTTTTCAATTATGACAATCGATAACTCTACAACAACCGGGTCATTTTTATGTCAAAAATAATAATAATTATCCAATTTATATTAATTAAAAAGAAAATAATAATAATAATAATAACTCCAAGAATAATGCTAGATGTTTTTCGAATTAGGAGAATTAACTAACGATTTCATATTTTGCACAGCAACGGATGATGACCTCGACCGTGTTCGTCTTTAAGTATTACTAGCACCAGGAGTGGCTCTATAAAAAAAAAACAAAACAAAAAAATAACAAAAATTGTTTCTGTTTTTCTTTGGTTTGTTAATGGGAGTGGCAACACTTACGGCATAGAAACAAGAGCAGAATTTTAAAAGTTTAAAAGTCGGTCCTTCTGACCCTAAAGAAAACGTACAGTATATCTAAGACACTGCCACACATAGAATTAAGTACCTGCTAATTCGTATGACGTAACTGCAATTCAGCGTGCCAAACCCGACCAAGTCGTCCTCGATTTTCTGCTTAGAGAAAGGAAGAGAATAAAAAAAAATTTTACGTTCATTTAACAATCGTTTAACTAGGGAAAAAACGGGCTCCGAAACACATTGACGTGCATCGCAACCAATAGCATTCGGTCGTGCTCGTCCCACTCGACGTAGATTAATGAAAGAACGAGATCTAACGTCGACCCCGTGGGCTCAGTTTAGGTGCATTTAGACGTTTCTACCCCCCGATGTTGTAATAGTAAAAAAAAAAAGGAAAAAAAAAAAGAAGATGGCAACACGCGTTGTCGCCCGAAATCCTGCCTTACCTGAGATAGGAATCGACGAATTGTGCGGCCTTATATGTTTTTTATTATTATTTTTGGGCGTGAGGTGTGACGAGATTATAGATGATGCGATGTGCGGAGGAGGAGGTGGCTCATTGTCTGGCTAATCCCCGATTTTCGGTAGCGTAGCCCTCCTCTGACTATATAACGAGCGGACACAGCTGGAATAACATCCGGGCATGCGCCGTGTCTGCCGACCTTGTTGCTATGCAAGGGCGAGCGCTGTCATGACAACAAGCGTTGATCGGTTGCGAGGTGCGGGT